TTTAAATCCACCATTATACTATATGTTTTCTATATCCCACTTATTCTATGTTCTTTTTTTGCCTTCTTTTGGTTTAGTTATTTTTTATTACTTTTTTCACCTCTTTTAACTTGTTTGCCATTCTTTTTCTGGTTAGTCTGGAGAGTGCACTTTGCATCTTTAACTTGTTAAAGTCGAATACAAAGTATTAATAATATATGGACCATTTCCCAGAAAATGCAGTGACCTTAATGCACTTTAAATTTGTTCCCCCCCCTTTCCTACCCTTGTGCTGTTATTGTCATATTTTAAAATTCTCTCTGTGTGTGTATTAGTGTTTTTAAATAGTCCTTATTTAGATTTACCCACATTTTACCCTTTTTGTTCTTTGTTCCTTCCTGTATCTCTGTCCTTCCATCTGAGCTGTAGTATTTCTTTTAGTGGGAACCTACTAGTGATGGAATCTCTGAGTTTTTGTCCAAAAATGGTTTTTTTTCACTTTCATTTTGGGAGCAATTTTTGCTGGATTTAGAATTCTAGGTCAGTAGTTCTTTTTTGTTGTTTTTTTCCTTTTTAAGTCCTTTGAAAGTGACATCCCACTGTTATCTGGCTTCAACCTTATTGTATCTACGAAAGTACTGTGCTTTTTTTGTTCCATTTGATTCTCTCTTATAGTTTCCAATTAACCATATTGAAAGTCTGTATATTGACTTATTTTCTTACCATTCTCTTCTTTTTTTAACTTGCCCAAACCTGATTTCTTTTCATTCCACTTTATTTATTTATTATTTCTAAATTTTAATGTATGACAATTCTTTTGGATTGTCATTTTCCTTCAGTTTTCATAATATTCTTTCTGTTTTGTACTTACTGGGTTTTTTTTTTATGTTTCTCAAAAATTTGCTCTTTGCTTTTCTTGATACTCTTCAGGGAATTCATACTTTTTTCTCATTTGTACATCTGTCGTTTTATGCTGATGATTTTACAGGTATCTAATAAAAGATAAATCAGGCTTCTCCATAAATTACCAGAAGCTTAAATTTCTAGTTGTGAGTGAATTATAAGGCTTACTTTGTCATCCCAAAGAGGCCTTGGTATGCTATGGATAAGAATGTCTTCCATTAGCTGAACTCTTCGTGCTTGTTTTCTGCCTGTAGCCTCCAAAAATGCCTCTGAATGTGTCCTCTAAGTAGCTTAAATTTCCTATATCAAGTTTCCAGTAGACTTTTTTATCTTGACATCCCATTGTAACTTCTAAATTCATTATTAAAAACCAAACTATTATCTCCAACAACTCTGTCAATGTTGTCCTATCCACACACATTATTTTCCCTGTCAGTGGTACCTCCAATCTCCCAATTGCCAAAGTTAGTGTCATTTTTTTATTCATACATCTCCATTGCCCCCATACCCAAAAATTACTAGGTCCTTTTTAAGGACCTAATTTTTCAGACCTCGACTCCCTCCCTGTTCATGTTACCACCCATCTTACCTCCACTTGTAAACTCATCCTGTCTCTTGGGTAGTTAGATTATGTGGTTTGGAATGATACAGAAGAGAATTAAATATTTTTGTGTTCAGAAAATATTTTTAAATCATTATAGGTATAACTAGGTATTAGAAATATAAGGTACTATGCAAAATACTTCCAGGTATAACATTTTGATATAAATGTTCTCAACAGGCAATGAACACCAGGGAAAGTGGCAAAGCTTCATCCAGTTTAGGTCTTCAGGATTTTGATTTGTTACGGGTAATAGGAAGAGGAAGTTATGCCAAAGTACTGTTGGTTCGATTAAAAAAAACAGATCGTATTTATGCAATGAAAGTTGTGAAAAAAGAGCTCGTCAATGATGATGAGGTAAGCACAGTGATGTTTTACTACTTCTGAACTGTTATACTGCTTAAGAGTACTGTTTCAGGGAAAAACTCAATGTTTGTGCTTTATTATTTCAGTCTACTTTTCTAAATATATGCTTCAAATAGACTATATGAGATCTTTAAAATAATCTAATTATTATTAGATTTTTTTTTTTAAAAAAATAAAAATCATTAGCTGGGTGTGATGGTGTGCACCTTTAGTCTCAGCTACCTGGGAGGCTGAGGCGGGAGGATCCCTTAAGCCCAGGAGTTTGAGGTTGCAGTGAGCTATGATCACACCACTGCACTGCAGCTTGGGTGGCAGAGCAAGACCCAATCTCAAACAAACAAACAAACAAACAAAAATAGAAATAAAGCCATATTACTATCAGGGGAAATACTTGAGCTTTGTAAAGGCTTTCTAGACCATTTCATAATACTAACAGATTTACTAGTGGCATTTTTCTCTTTGTATATAAATTGTTTTATGATTATCAATGGTTTTTGATATTTAGCCTAGTTAGTTAAAAATTGCATTTGTGATAATTGAATTGCTAAGAGCAAATTTATCATTGGTTTTGATGATATCATTTTATTTGACATAGATTTCTTTTATATTTTTAAATAGGATATTGATTGGGTACAGACAGAGAAGCATGTGTTTGAGCAGGCATCCAATCATCCTTTTCTTGTTGGGCTACATTCTTGCTTCCAGACAGAAAGCAGGTAAGATTGAAAGATAGTGGAATGATAACTGGGCTTCATGCATTTGGGTATATTACACAATAAGATCCATTCTGCTATGATTAATGAAGTAAAAGTCATGGAGAAAGACACAACAGTACTGTGTTTACAACTTCCTACTACTCATACTCCAGTCAGTGATACCAGTTTGACATTGGATCAGCATTTGGAAATGACCTGCTTTAGGCAAAAAAAGAAAAATCCAGGTCATAATTATGGCAGAAGAAATCCAACTTCTTAAATTTCCCCAGGATTCTAGTTTTATGACTTTAAAGTTTCCTAGACCTTAACTGGGGGGGAAATACTGTTGAAAATGACTTATCTATCAAATACTAAAATTGGGATGGGAGTGAGTGGCTCTGGTTTGCAAGTGGTACTATTTTACAACAGAAGTAGCAGATTACAGAATTATTATGCTGGTTTACTTTCTTATATCTGCCGTACTCTAGATACCCTTTGTTTCCACCAAATTCTTCGTGTCTATTTAAAGGCTAAATTGTAGAGAATGCTATGTTGTAACTGGTTTCTGAATTGTTTAAATTGCAAAGTTACACTACCTTCTTTTGGATCTTGATTTCATGGGTTCTCTCCTGTGTTTCAGATTGTTCTTTGTTATAGAGTATGTAAATGGAGGAGATCTAATGTTTCATATGCAACGACAAAGAAAACTTCCTGAAGAACATGCTAGGTAAGTTCTTTGTTTATTGTTTGCTTGTGCTGAGCTTTTTTCCAGAACTATGTGAGTTTTTATGTACAGTCATTGAAAATAATAGATAAATAATTTATTTTGATACTAGTTAATTCCTTGTAAGTCATGTAGAGGCTAAGCTAAAAGTTATTATAACATGTATTGTAATTATAGTATATATATTATTATATATAGTTCTTATGCTTCCTAAGAAATTGAAAAGTGTAAACAGTATTAAAGGGGAAACTTTAATCTACTAAAACCAATTATTCTCAAATATTTTGTCTATTCAGCATCAGCTATTTAAATAATTGGTAAATTTACAAACATTTATTAATCTTATCAAGTTTATAGGGACTCCTTTGATAGTTTTTCATTAGAAGAGTATTATTCATATATACTTGAAAGTAATAAAACAATTCCTCATAAACTAGTATGTAATTCTTACTATTTTTCTTGTGATTTTAATTTCTGAATTGTTCTGCCTTTACCTTTTTTCCCCTTTAATCCTGTGTTGATGAATAAGAGAAAGGAGTGTTGAATACTAATTTTGTACCCTTAATTTGATATTAATATATGAGATTGTAAATTGTTTATATGTTGGAGGAGATAGGTGAGAAGGGATCATGACCTTAGTTTTGTTTTTTTATTCATGATTAGCAGTAATTGTCTCCCTTTCCTACTTCACAAGAGTAATGCCAAAACGAAGCATTTAAGTTTGTATATGTATGTAATTATTAAGTGGTAAACAAAGGTTAGAGATTTCATTTTTAAAAATAACTTATTTATTAGAAATTTTACTAGTTCATTATTTCTTGTCAAAAAGTGATGATATCCTTTAATTTCATAAAAAGGTATAAAATTGTACTCATCTGATCTTGGGGCCAAGCTGTTCTTTTAATTTACCATGTATTTATGTTCATTATGTATTTAGGCTTTATCAGTAGTCACCCTTTATAGCAAAGACACAGATGATATTTTGAATTGTGAACATAGACAATATTTGTTCAGTTGGACTTAAGGAAACTAGTCTGGTTTTTACTATATTAAAGTGACAGTTCTGGTTCATACCATCTTTGCTTTTCTAAGAACCGAAGCACAGAATAAGGGCTCAAGTTCCCTAATTATAGAATTAAGTAACTAGAAACATGATCATGATAATGTGCCAGCAAAGCATCCATAAACTTGCTTGGGTGTTAACATTTTTATTTTTTAGTCCAGAAGCGCTTGGTTATCACCAGTGAGTTGGTAGCAGTTTTTAAAAGTACCTTCTTTAATATTAAGTTTTATGGTTGTAAAATAGTTTCTTTTAATTCCTTTCCTAAAATCTTCATGTGGATTTAATGGTTTTTGAGTAGTCAGTTTTTAGTATTCTTTCCATTCTAGACCCATCAGTGATTCTTAGCCTTTTGGGGATCCGCAGTCCCTTAGAGAAGTGATAAAAGCTATGGGAACTCTTTAGAAAATGTGCATGTACATATGTACATACAACTTTGCTTCTGATTGTGGGAATATGGACTGGACTGCCTGAGGGACCCAGATTAAGAATCCCTGTTTGAGACTTTCAAATTAATAACTTTATGAAAAATGTGAGTTTAAGTTAGACTGGAACTTCTCTAATTCTGGTTTGGGCTCAGATGTTTTAAAGTGGTACTTCAATTTTTTTTTTTTTTTTTTTTTTAATATTAGTTCCTAAAATCACTGGAAGAAAAAAAATCTTTTGATGTGATTTTTATGTTTTCAATTGTAAGTGTAGGACTTAAACATATCTTCCTCTAGAAAATAACCTATTTTTTATTTTATTTTAGATTTTATTCTGCAGAAATCAGTCTAGCATTA